AAATTTTTATTAATAATTCACATGAAATTAATATGGAAATGAAAAAACTTATAATTTCTAATAGTTCTAATGGTCCATTGTATCCAACTGTAAAATGCATTGTTTTATGTTGTTCCAGTTTGTGTGTTGTTTATCTTCGAGTGATTTCCAAGCTTGCGACAAAGTTTTGGTATCTTTGCTGTTTATGAAATTTTCTTTGATTGTGGTCTTAAAAATTTCCCAAGCTTATAGTGTTCTGAGGTTTTGTACAAAACCCGTTTTAATTAATTTTGCTTCCTCCCAGTTGACTGATACTATGAACACATTCACATATTGGGCTAGTGTACAGTACATGCATACAGACATACATACATACATACATACAAGAAAGACATCAGCCATACATGAAGTGTTTAGCCAGCAAAAAGAGGGTAAGGGAAAGGGGAGAGGAAGAAGGAGGGAAGGAGGAAGAGGAGATAGGCATTAGAGAAAGGTATGATTCCTCTGAATGATGTACATAGGACTACAGTACCCTCTATGTTTGATACTGGCGTGCAGTTTTTAGGTTGCAAGGCCGTAGTGGTCCAAAAGAAAACCTGAGTGTAGAAAACACTAATAATTGAGTGCCATCATGAATAGCTAAGTGTAGAAGTTAGTGCCAAGGCTATTAGTAGGAAAACTTATAACTACTTAATACTAATAAAACTGAACACAATCGCAAATCTTAAAACTACTTAACAACTAGACAGACAGTGTGAAAAGCAAATGAACACAATGACAAACTAGACGAGACGAACGGACCGACAGAGACAAACAAGCAAGACCCCAAAAATTATTTATTTACTTATTTATGTTTTTTAAAACATTAACTTACTCACTAACTAAACAAACCTACCATAACTTAGGACGAACCTAACCAGACAACTAAAGCTAACAAACTCTAATCTAATTTAATCTAACTTATCATAACCTAACTGGAAACCAAGCTAAGAGTCNAAAAAAAAAAAAAAAAAAAAAAAAAAAAAAAAAAAAAAAAAAAAAAAAAAAAAAAAAAAAAAAAAAAAAAAAAAAAAAAAAAAAAAAAAAAAAAAAAAAAAAAAAAAAAAAAAAAAAAAAAAAAAAAAAACAGAAAATAAGAATTAAAATACAAAGTTGAAAGGCAGCTATATACCAACAGTTGAAACAAAGCAAGGGAAAGCTAATTGCCATTGTGTCCCTGGAGTGAGTGCTCTCAAGAGCTCCACTAACAGATATGAATGTGAGTAGATGATGGAACATTGTATGTGTGTGAATGAGTTGGTATGGGTTGCAAGGCAGTTGTACCCTTCAAGAATAGCAGCTCTCAATAAACAATCCCAATGTGAATGTACAGAACCTATTGGGCTAGTGTAGTAGACAGTTTGTTTTTGTAAATGTCATATAGGGTTTGTCCAATAAGTATCGAAACTGATTTTTTCCTGCCAATTGGAAGGGGTGGAAGACAGTTCCTATAGGTGGGATAAGTGGTGGGGATATCACTTAAAATATGCAACCTGGCTCAGTTTTCTTTAAGCTTTCAGAGTGTATAGATAGCACCTGAAGTGAAAGTGTGTTTAGTGCTTGCATTGAGAGTCAAGATGCAGCAAACCATCAAGCAGTGTTTGCCATCAAATTTTGCATTAAATTGAACAAATCCACTACTGAGACTTTGGATATGATCTGTGAGGCATACAAGAACAAAGCCGTGTCCAGAACACGTGTTTTTGAGTGGCATAAAGAATTCAAAGATGGCTGGTAGATGTTGAAGACAAACAATGCACTGGAAGTTTGACAGTGACTTGAACCAATGAAAATGTGGCCAAAGTGCAAGAACTTTTGAGGATTAGGGTCCACTGCATCTGAAAGGAGATCGCTGATACCTGGATGCTCCATCATGACAATGCGCCAGTCACATATCACTAATTGTGAGGGAGGCACTGGTCAAACACAATGTGTCAATGCTGTCCCAACCACCCTATAGTCCAGATGTGGCTCCCCTGACTTCTTTTTGTTCCCTCATATCAAAGGAGCCTGAAAGGACATATTTTGAGATGATTGAGGCTGTCCAAGTGGCTTTGACAAGCAGACTGAACAAGGACTGTCTCCTGGAAGGCAGCCCTTGCAGCTGCTGCCTTCCAGGAGTCATATGAAGACTGGAAAAAGCTTTGGCAGTGGTATATTGATGCAAGAGGGTCATATTTTGAAGATTATTAGCTCACTGTACATATATCTTCAATAAATTTCTTTTTATGACTTCAGTCCCAATACTTATTGGATAAACCCTATATTTGTGCTCAGCTATCCTAGGCAACAAGCCCTGTTGATAGACTCTTGTAGCCAAATAATAAATAACTGAATCCAGGGAATCGCTCGGCATTGATAAATAAGTTTAATTTTCACAAAAAAAAAAAAAAAAAAAACTAACATTCTGAAGAAACAATCATTTGTGCTTATGAACTATGAATTTACAAGATTAATTGGGACTGATTGTAACAAATACAATGGATGGGTTCCCAAGTACCAACAAACAAAGAACATATTCTATCTTAGGTCTAACTTAACTAATTTTTACAAATAACTGGGCCCAAAGTTAAAGGGAAGATATTAAGAATTATAGGATTATAAAAGTATTTAGAGGAGGAAAAGGTTCAAAGGGGTGACTGGTGATGAATAAAAACCTCAGATCGTTCTGTTATAAGGGTCTTCATTCCATACTTGTCAATATGTATGTCTCCTTCCAGCTCTCTCCCAAAAGTAATCTTCTCCTTTTTCAAATCTTACGCAGTCCACTGCCAGTACCCTTTTTTGACCAATCAGGTGTCACCCTTTTTGTTCTCTAAACAGATCAGACCATAGGGAAATCCAATCACGGTGTGGTCACAGGAACAAAAGCCAGAAGTAAAGTCTCACACTAGAAAGATGATATAAGGAGAAAAAAAACAACAAGGCTTAATCAAGCCACACCCTACATAAGTGAGATTTCTATCAAATCTACTATTGTACAGGAGTACTAAATATTCCTGGAATTTTGTTGGTGTTTGATAACAATCTAAAGACTGTAATATTACATCTAAATATTAATCTATGGTTAATTAATATTAATGCAAAAAACATCTTTTTTTTGCATGTGTCAGTGTCTATTGAAAAGTTCCAGCATATTAATACAGTACAGATAATATGCAAAAATTACAGTACTAGTAAGCGATGAATTATCATAAGAGGGTCAGTATTATTTTTAAAAAAATTCAGTTACATTTGTATGTCTTTCATAATTGATAGTAACAATTGTCAGTGAATATTAATCTTGTTTTAGTGTATCTTGTTATCTGTCTGTATACACATAGTAAAACAGAGCAGAAATTTACTACTTAATGCTTTTGTTTGTATGTATCCCCATGTCTTACTTTTATCTCTTTTGAATATTTATCCCTATCTATAGTATTCCATCCTTTTTTGTGATATTAACAACGGAAATTTTTGGTAACAAACTTTTTGATCAAGTCCATTATAGAAGTGATGCAAAAGAACATATTTAAAAACATTCTGAAAATAGAACAGAATACTCAGCTTGTTCTTGTTGAAACTGAACTATTAACACACACTGTGATAATAATTAAAACTTTTAATTTACGAAAGAAACATATATTAACATTAGAACACTTGTAGCTCTGAAGAAAAAAAAAAGGGGAAGATAAAAAACAAGAGGGAGCTCGAGAGAAAAATCTGGCCAGTGTAGCCACCAAACAACAGATCATGAAAATATTTGGGAAAATATTTTCCCTATTTTTCAACAGTTCTAGTTTTTTTTTTTTTTGGATGCAAGTCTGAAGTGAGCCCTGAACAGAGCTGAAAACATTTACTTAGACTAGAATTTTAAGTACAAGAAATGTTTTACAGCTGAAAAAGTGTGCAAGGTGGTTTCTAAGTCAAAAAAATAAAATATTGAAATACGGTAATATTTCAGAAATAATAAAGTAAAATTGAACAAAAATAACAATTAAAATTGTACTCAAAAGAAGGATATTACTGATAAAAAGAGGTTGGGCGGCCAATACAATTCAAGAGGGGATTGTTCTCCAAAATGGAAAATGGTTGGCAAATCTATTTGTTATACATTATATATCTAACAAATATATGCTTTTATGATGCTCAATACTAGTTATAATGCTTCTATAACATTAAAAATTTTAAATCTGTGATCAAGATAAGCAAAATATCTTTGAAAAATAAAAATAAATTATATAAAATTCTTAAATATAATCAATATTTATTTATTTATAAGTTTATAATCTATAATATTTGCACTGATATGGTTCTAAAATCATAACAGATCCTAAAATCTAATGTTATTTTTTTTTTATATTTTGAAAAATATTGAGAAGTGATTCTGCTTTCATCTGTCCACAGGATCAAAAATGTTAGTATTCCTTCAACTTCATCCACTGTTAAAGATGCATTAATTAATTTAGAAGTATAAATTAATGAACAACAAAAGACACAAAAACTAATTAGACAACTAATTAATTGAGAAAATGAACTTTTTTCAGAAATTATCACCTTTTTTTTTTATTTTAAATAATTATTTTCAAATTTATTAGAAGCAAGATATCATTAAGTTCCTTTATGAAATTATTAATTAAATGTAAAACAGAATATCTTTTTATACATGGTTTAATCAGTATTTTATGAACAAACCTAATGTCATTATCCTTTGTTCTAAATAAAAAAAATTGTTGAATATTTTTTATTATAAGCCTATGCTGTATATTAAAATATTACATTGAAAAAATTGTCAGTTTTTTTGAAAATGCTAATAATTTTCTCAATATAAATTTTATACATACTTATGATATATTTATTTTTGTATTCATATTAATTAAATATTAATATTATTTCAATTTTTTATTTTAAAATAAAAATGATAAGATAATAAATAAACATTTTATTAATGTATCTCTCATATTCAAAAAACAGGAAAATGAAATAAAATGTACAAAATGTACCTTTGGTCTTCTGTTTCATCTCCTTTCAATTCATTAATATTTGGCACTTTTCTTTGCAAATAAGTTGTTGCTAATTTTAATAATGCCTATGAAATAATATAACATGCATTAAAATCATTTAAAATTTTATCCTAAATGAAAATTGCATATCTGAAACTTATCAAACAATATGAATCTTGGTGGAAAAAAAAGTCACATCCATATTTTTAAATCTTTTATACCATGCCTGGCCAACAACTGAATCGTGATCAATTGGTTGATCACTGCATCATTTTTGATCAATTGCAGATAATATGAAAACATTTGTTATTTTAACAGGAATATTAAATACATATTTTTCATGGAGAAATTGCTTAACTATTTGCTATGTGTTGGTAATGCTGCATTCTATGAGATGACGTGTGATGGATACTAAGAAGTGCTCTTTATGTTGATGGTCATTGTTATGTTGTTATTTTATAAATTCTTTTATTGTGCTCTAAACAATTTTGGTTAAGTGCAAAATGAGAGAGTGTAAGAGAAAGAAATAAAATTCTTTTTTGTTGTAATGAAAAATAAATAATGCCAATTATTTTATGACTTAGTGTCTTTACCTAAAAAGAAATAACTTGGTATGTTTATTACTGTATAATAAATATAACTATGTTTTTCAGCATACTTTTATTAGAGTGGATTATTAAACTTTTATAAAAGAACAAAAATGTTGGGCAAACCATTGATGCTTTTGACTCACGAGAAAGTTGATTACATCTCATTATAAGATGGCCACTATACATATAAAATTTATTAATATAGTTCTTGTTTTATATCTAATAATTTATGAATGTAAAATTCAAAATATTCAAAATATAAAAAAACAAAGTTAAAGAGCAGGAATGACTGTTGTTTTATTAAATTAAAATTGATTTATTTATTATTATTAAATTTATCACAAGATGGCAGCCTAACAGTCTACCTCTTGCCAAATTACCTTGTTTCAAATCATTACTTACAAGTTAGACTTAAAATAGTCCAATAAAAAGGTTTGATTACTCTAATAAATCAGGTTATAAATGTTATCATATGTATTTACACACACAAACATAAACACACACCACACTGAGGTTAAAGTGTAAGTTGGCTGAGAGCAATGGAAGGTTGTGGGTTCCATTGCCATTCCCAGTCATTCCCAGTTAAGTCAGTACCATAAGTGATCAGTTTGGTTATATCTTAATTAATTAATAGCTCTGGAAACAAAGATCAAATGGAGGGTTGGGTGGTGGAACTAGCAATGCAATAGTATGGTAAACAGGAATTACAGATTTGCATCCCACTTCAGACTAATGTTTTTCTCCAGAGTATTCTAAATACAATTAAAATTAATTAATTTATTTATAATTATTATATTTATCATGAGATGAGTGCTAAGCTCCTACTCCTAGCCAAATTACTTTGTTTTGGATTATTAATTTGACTTAAATTGTTGGATAAAAATCTGGGAGATCATTTGGTTACAAAAGACTGATTCAGCTTTCAATCAGTAAAGAAGTATCAAGAATGTAAAAAGAGTAGACTCTCATTAGCATCCACTATCAGTTCATGTCACCAGTTTTTGATGTTTTGGCATAATCTTATACAGTGGGTGATCGGTTAACGAACAAATGGGATAACGAACACTTACACGAAAGATTTTTATGATCGGACAACAAACACTTCACTGAACAAACATAAAAAGAAGTGACGGAAATAGCAAATACCAATTGATTTTCCCTTGTCTTCAGGTAACAATTTGAAACTTTTTGGAGAGTGGGAGATGCTGACATCGATGCTCAACCCGATATATACTGATTGGACAGTATTCCTCGAACTTTGAAATACTCCCTTGTAATTCCACCCTTTTATTTTTCTGACAGAAACAATTCTTTTATAGTATTCATGAGACTGTTGGGGGCACTTGTTACATTTTGCATCGGTTTTTATTTCCAAAAGATGAGAGTATAATAGCAAAAGTAGAGAGTGAGTAGAAGATGTCTGATGTTGCTGGACAGTATGGTTTGAACAAATCTACAGTAGGGCACAGTTGAATCTTATCTAAGAAAGATACAACAGTATAACTGAGAAGACTCAAGCAGCTAAAGGAGTAACAAAAATCACATCTGAGAAATAAAGAACATTGAAGAGCTCATAATGGAACCCGAAACGGATCTGACGACAGAAGAATGCCAAGAAATCTTCAATGAAGAACACCAAGAAACTCGGTGAGATATGTTTTATTCTGAAAAAGAGGATTAATGCCAATATCTGCTATTAATTAAAGATCTTTTGAAGAAGTGGGGATGTCAGATTGACAGTCTTAGAATGGCATATATCCAAACCAGGTTGAGGTTAACAGGCTTGGGGATCTTTACAATTACAATGCTATTAATTACTTCTGAAAACCCTGAAGAAGAGAGAGACATAATCGACATTAGACAGATTCTTTAACCCCTACAAACAAAAAAACATAACTAATAAATATTCAAGACTGTGTATGTATGTATTTTTATTGTTACATATAAATAAACTTAGTAAGAAAGTATATATTTTTTTAATTTTTGGAGTCTCCAGAACAAATTAATCAAATTCCCATAGAAACCTATGGTAAATCGATAATAGGATAACAAACAATTCGGATAGCAAATAAAGTCTTGGAACGGATTATGTTCGTTAACCGATCACCTATTGTATTTTAGTGTAAATTTAACTCCACTTAATGAAAATCTAGTTAACAGTTACTGTGAACTTTTTTTATAATTTAAAGATACTGCAGATATATACAGAATTATCAAAACAAAAGAAGAAAATAGCAAAAGTCTGGAAAATATAATGAAGTTACTATACCTAGCTAAGTCTACAGTGCAAAATGTAATCAGCCACAGAATAAAAACTGATACAATTTGCCCAAAGAATTTGACTGGACAAAAACAGCTCCTGACAAAACAACTATTCTCATATGCAAAGATACATTATGAAAAATCAAACTGCTATATCACTGCATCTGGTCATCAGTGCCAAAAAATGCCTAATTAAAACTTTGCACATGCAATGGAAAAATATGTCTGAAGATTAAAGTATGGCTTTTATAAAAGCTAAAAAAAAAAAAAAAAAGCCAATCCTAATGCATCTCAACAAATGCAGTCAATTGCAATGAGCTCATCAAATGAAAAATTGGACCATTCATAACAGGCAGGGTATATTATGGAACAATGAACCCACATTTCAATTCCCTTTGGGAAAAATTGGTCCCAGAGTCAGCTGCAGAAAAGGTGAGGCAAACAATCTGGAGTGCTTCATCCATATAACTTAAAAACCATTTTCTGTCATTGTGTTAATATGTTGACATATAGCCCCTATATGTTAACACATTAATTTTTATGAAAGCAGCATCAACATCAGAATATATTGAAATATTGGAGGAGTATTTGTAACCATCACAAACTGTACATGAAAAAACAAACCAATGTAGAAAACTTGCATGAATGTCATCTCATATGACCAAATTGTCATCACTCTGCTTCATGTGCCATGTTTGTGCCATGCTTTCATGGAGATGTATTAATATATAGTTTGGCTTGCATCTGAATGTTTATCATATTTAGAAGATAGCAAAACTTGCATTTTAGTTTACAAGCTCTGTTATATACAAGGTGTGTTCCATAAGTAATGCGACCAAATTCATAAAAAATCATTTATTGAACGTATTTTTACAATTAGTCAAAAATCTTTGAAATAGCACCCTCCTGCATCGATACACTTGTGAAGGCAGTGTTTCTGGGCCTGGAAAGCATTCTGGAGGGCCTTCTCCAGAATGTCCTTTAGAGCCGATGTAACATAAGCCTTGATGTTTTCAATCGTGTCTCAATGTTTCCCTTTCATGTGGAGAAGCAAAAAAAAGTTGGCAGGAGCCAGGTCAGGAACACACTAAACCACCTAGCACAGCAGGTTAGAACTAGCTACAGCATATCGTCATGCCGTGAAAAAAATTAGTCGCATTACTTATGGAATGCGACTAATTATATCATCATATTATAATTATATTTATCATAATGTGGCTATTATTTTNAAAAAATTAGTCGCATTACTTATGGAATGCGACTAATTATATCATCATATTATAATTATATTATCATATAGATAATATAATTATTAATTATATCATAATTAATAATTATATTATCGCACTACTTATGGAATGCGACTAAAATAATGAACGCACCTTGTACATCAGAAGGAAACTGAAACATTTTTACATTTTTGGACTCATGGGACCACAAAACAAAAAGAAATGCAAAAAAAAAAAAAAAAAAAAATTCAGGTTTTATCTGTATCTATGGATGTATGTGTGGGCACAATTTTGTTCACCCAATTTAAAGCTGAATTATTCCCTGACTTTTGTTGAAAAATTCTGAAATTTTGCAGGGAAATTTGTATATTAGGGGCTCAATGCTATTAAATTTTGGTAGTTAAAGGTCGAGGGACTAGTGGATCATATCTTGAGTAGGGTTGAACTTATTTTACTTGGGGAAGATTTTACTCGTTATTAACATTTACAATTTTTTACAAAATCCATCTCTACCCTCAAAATTAAGCCTTTGGTCAGTTTATAATAGCTAAAAATTAAAAAAAATTTTTTATAATAAAATCTCATAAATAATGGTGCCACACACAAATTTATGTTTGTTTAATAATATAAAATTTATTTTTTAATAAAGATCTCATAACAGCTGGAAAGTTATGCAACTCATTGCTGGATTTTTTTACTAGGTTATTTAATAACTCTTACTGCTCAAAACATCGACTAGTGTAGAAGTAAAATTTTAATGCACAAAAGCATACAAATCACTCAAAGCTCAGTTTTGTAGCAAATGGCTGGGTTGATCCAAAGATTTTGGTAACAGTTCTTCAGAACATACCTTTCCTATCAAGACAAATTTGAGTACATTAAAACAAACTATAACACTTGGTACTGACAAAAAATGTATGTTTTATGATAGTTTTATTGACCATTGCAAAACATCACTTCTAAGTGCTGTGTGGAATTTTTTTGTTTTTGTAATTGTCAAATTTGTTTTATTCTAACAAAATCTTCAAACCTGTTACCGGTGTGTTCTCCCACGACAACAAAAATGCAAAAAAATAAATAAATAGTTTGTTACTAACATTTTCAAACTGAAAAGGTAACATTGAATTTTTGATGGAATGCTGATCGAAGAAAACAAATTTGAAATTTGACCACCTGAGGCTGCCAGCATATACATAGCTAGCCTTAGCAGTAATAACTGCATCAGTCACAAAGATGAGATAACTCTATCAGTAGCGTGGCAGGTGCTAATGAACAAAAATCTATGATTACTGTCAATACTTCAGAGCGCATGCCTAAGAAGACATAATTGGGAAGTGCATGTTTGAATTTCAAATTTGTTTTCTTCAATCAGTATTCCATCAGAAATTCAACATTACCTGAAGAAGAACCTTTTTGGTTCAAAAATGTTAGTAACGAACTATTTATTTATATTTTTGAGTTTTTGTTGTCGTGGGAGAACACATTGGTAACAGGTTTGAAGATTTTGTTAATACACTCCGATGTTGAGTTAGTGATGTTTTGTTTCATTGTGTTTTAAAATTTACTTACACCCTATCTCTTCATTAGATGAGCTACTCAAAGTTTACATTTTCCACATTTAAAGTTTGGTTTACTCTGTCATGTATCAGGTGAAGTTAAAACAGAACAAAAACGTCACAAATATGGCACTGGGCAAAACACACATGCACAACACATACATCTGGGATTCCAATAGGTCACATGCAAGTTGTCTATATGATGTCAAATATTTAATAATAATGCACAAACACAAAAATTATTTTACTTCAGACTCAAGCATTTTCAGCATTACATATCTTCTTCAGGAGTTGAAATACAGAAAGAATAGAATATAATTCAAATTACAACCATTCTACATGCATTTGAACTTGAAGTAAAATAATTTTTTTGTGTTTGTGCTTTGTTATTAAATATTTAACACCATGCACATTGTGAGGACTCTTTTGGGAGTTTTAGAAGTTTAAACATTTATAAAATTAATTTTTGTCATTATTTTCTTTTCCCTCCTGTTTTGTTGGCGTTCGACCTTTTGACCCATCAGTGTACTGCATCACTTAGAAATGTCTTGGAAGCTTTCCCCTCACAGCAGGGGATTATTCATTTCCCTTTTAGTTACAATGTACAAATAAGTAACCAATTAACAAGAACCACCTGTTATATGATAGAGAGTAACAAACTGGTGGCCTGGAGGTTTTGATCTTAGCCATTGGCTGTAAGTAAGTTAAAAAGTTGACAGCGAATGTCAAATTTATGAGGGAAGATATCACTAGAATGGGTAGAAAAAAAAACAATAAATCAAGAGAATCGTTTGGTTCACATAAACAACTCTAGTGCAAAGGCGATTGCATCAGATTTTCCCCCCGATGATTCCACTCCGGGACCGGTATAAAAAAGGATCGCACTTGCACCTGCGGGCAGACAGCCATGAGGACACAGACGAGATGGACAGCCGAAACGAGGCCAGCCGAAGCGGACAGCTGAAGCGTGGACGTAGCTGAGCAGACATCAGGGAGACACCAGACCCATACCGCTATTCCGTCTGTCGCAACCCACCATAGTCTCCGACCTGAAGAAACTATGATTAGGAACCACCGATCCCAGAGCATTTTACCAATGTCCAATATGACAAGAGTGGAAATCCGTGAGTCCATCAATTAGCAAATCCCGATACTCTCTTTCGTTCCCAGTCACTCTCTCAATCATAGCTTACAATTCGAGAATATTATATCTTTAGAGTTAGATCTAGGTAGTTTTAAAGCCTTATTAGACAAATTATGGTAACCTTTATGTTTTGTATTCATTTCTATAAGTTCAGATAATTAAATACATTTTTATATTAAATGCTGTGTCCTCTTGAAGTACATCCGACACCTTATTACGATCTCGCTACCCCGCCCCACTCACTTTTTGCCCTCCTATGTAGTCATCCTTGACTGAGCCACTGGTAAGCGGGAAGAAGCTAGACACAATACCTCTCAGTTCTCACACACGTTTGTCTGTATATTACACTGTAGTTTTGATGTACTTTTAATTGGTACTGGGAATGTACTAATTATAGTATCTAATATTGATTGTACTTTTTATGGTGTATACCAAATGGAAGTAAGAATGAAAACTGTTCAGTAAGTGACAAAAGCAATTTCAACAAGACAATGCCAAGACCCAAATTACAAAGCTGATAATCCAATGGTTTTGTATCAAGTGGGTCAAACTGCTTGCATAATCCACTAGGAGCCCTGATCTTAGACTCATCAAAAACATCTGGTTTTATTTGAAGTAATGACTCCAGAAATAGTGCTCAGCAATGACAGAATCCTTGAAGGAATATTTAGGATAGGAATGGAACAAAATCCCTCCTACCATTACCAAAAAATGCCTTGATTTGATACTCCAAAGAGTTTTGAAAATTATTAAGCATCAAAGTGATGCAACTAAATATCAAAATAATACCATCAAATACAAAATAACTGTGCACATATGGAAAGTTTTGCCTGATTCAGGCCACCTATTAAAGGTTTTGTTTTTTCCAGTTTTCTAAGCTGTAAAACATATTTGAGTACAATCAACAAGTATTGTTTCAAGTCATATCATATCATTTATATATTTTAAAGCCAATATTTATGCAGTGTTTCAATTATTTTTTGTCAGTATGAAAAATTTTGATGTTGCCTTTGTATATACATAGTGTACTAAAAAGAAATATTGGTCAACATCAATATTCTTTCTGCTGTCAGAAGTATTATTATTGTTTTTGGAAATTTTTAATAAAATATAAGCAAATTTAGTTGATTCTGTTTCAAAATTTCAGGATTTTTTTGGGAAGTTTAAAAAGTTTTATACAAATAAATGTACAATGTATGAAAATAAAGTAGTGTGTTCTTATATTATACAGATGTATTAAGAATTTTTGTTTATAATGTAAATTTTACTGGTTTAAACAGTAATTCAGCAATTTCTAATGTAAAAATAATATTACTGATTTTACATTTTAATGTAAAAATTTACTGATTTACATTTTTTTTTTTATGGAAATGTAAATCAGTAAGTAGGATTGTTTTGGATATCCATCAAAAGTTAATTGAAGATTTTGATGATTTTTTCGTATTATCAATTGGCAAAACATATGATTCACAAAACATTATCTGAAAATAGAAACTGTAATCTTACAATGAAATGTATAATTTAATATAATATATCTATGCAATATGACTTTCAAGGCCAAAATTTCATAATCATCATTAAGATCATCTATCAGTTAACATTAACATTTATAGCAGTTCCAAGGCTAATGAGAGTCTTCTGTACATTGTTAAATGGTATAAAATTATTGGAAAAGAGCAACAAAAGAAAATTTTAATACAGCAGAGTCTTTGCAAATCTTAAATTGGAATGTTCAGATGATGCAATTTCTAATTGTTCAATCTAAATTATTTAATTTCTTCTTCTTAACTGGATTGATAACTATAACTAAGTACACCAATCAAAAAGAAGCAGGTCATGTGTAAGATTGAAAATGTCTGTCAAATTTGCATTAAATTACTTACTGGATTGTCAAGATTTTGGTTGGTGTACTTATCTAAATTATTTAATTACTAAACTTAATGATATGTGGCAAATTTGTTTCCTTTTAATAATAAATTGTTATAGTAATAAATAATAAAAATAGCTTGACAAAATTTGATAATTTTGATTTAAATCATTAATTTAAAACAAACATTACCTTACAGGATTAAGGACAAGAAGACTAATATTATACTTCTGTCAAAATAATTTACATTAAAATAAATAATCAATTATAATTAAAATCAAAATTATAATCAAAATAATTATAATTTATTAATTAATTTTAAAATTAAATTATAAAAAATAGAAATCAAAACTCACTTGTCCATATTCTTTTTCAATAGCAGCACGTATTTTTGCAAAATTTCTGAAAAAAAATCATTAGAATACAATAAAAAAATGATTTACAAGTAATCAATAACATTATTTTCTATCACTTATTATTAACAATAAAAAAAAAATTATAATAAAAAAATGCAAAAATTCAAATATTTTGCAAATATACAGGATGTTTGTTCACTTTAATATTAATCCAGGAGGAAAAGATCATTCCAGCATTGAAAAAGTATATGCATAAGGTGCATTAGTTCCACTGCAATGTTAACAGTAAAATAAATTAATTCATTCAAAAAAAAAAAAACAGGTAAATCATGCAATAGTTCTGCGACAGTACATAAATTTTTTCACCTCTCCTAAGCAGAAGGATAACAGAAGCATGGGCAATGCTAGGGTGGTGTGACAGTGACTGCCAACCCACCTAAAATCTCCATACTCATTCATTCACCTATCCTGAAATAATTTATTCAAACCTACATATACTGATCATTATTGGGGGATTTAATGTTCTTAACTGAACTTTTTTCTGCCTATATGTCTTACTGAAAATTGATTTCTAAATTTTAAAAATTTAGATAACTTATAAAAAATTTTTTTTGAATGATGAGATGTTAGATAATGATTGCCCCAGTAAAAATTGTTCCATCCCACCACTGCTGTCCCAAAATAAAAATTCTAGTACAATTACTGAACAGGAGGGAATACTTTTAAGAAGAATTAGCATAACATACAAAGAATCTCTGACTGTAGATGATAGAAAACTACCATTGCATAAATTCATACAAAACAGGTTAGCTTCAATTTATTATAGCACACATTCAAAGTGCCTATTTTCAGGCAATATAATACATACAACAATGCAAACAAAAATGTAGAAGATTTAAAGTGAAGTTATGGTTGACATGTACTCAAATTGAATGTAAACTTCTAGCAAGATTAATAAAAAGCAAACGTAAAGCAACAGTAGATAAAGAAGAGCAATTGTACCTGACCAATATATATTTTGGAAAACTGTGTGATGCAAATATTCTATACCAACAATTGGATAAAATTAGGAATATAGCCAACAAAAAAGCTCGCCAAATTAGGAAGAAACTCAACAAAAAGTTCCAGTGGTTATGCTCAACTACTCACAGAAGACAACAACAAACCATGGAAGTTCCTTATCACAATTTTACTGACATTACAGTACTGGAGAATATCCACCAAACCCTAATAAAGGAGACAAAGTTTATACCTTTACTTAACCAAAATTATTCACAACTGATATCTCATATTATTGCAGCCATAAAGAGCACAAAAAGTCCAGATTTGCAACCTAAATTAGATCTTTCTACGTTGACTGCTATAGCATAGATGTATTCCCTTAAAACCATACGGGCAAATATGAAGACACCAAAAATGGTAAAATCTTTTCTTGAATTGAATAACTTAAAACTGTTAGTAGCCGACAAAGACAAATGTTTTGTTCTATGCACAAACAAAGATTTCCTCAATAGAGCTAACAAGTTCCTCGAACATTCTAGATCCATAGTACTAAAACAAGATTCTACTTCCACTGTGTTAAGAAAAGTGCGCAAAGTTATTGCATTACTAGGAATTGTAGAATCTTTAGCTGATCCTCTCAATCCTCCATCAAACGTTGCATGCCCCACATTATTTTTTGAGGCCAAAACCCATAAACCATCATGGCCGCTAAGACCATTGGTCAACAAACGTTCCCATCCCACGTATCATCTTGAAGCTGTGCTAGCAAAACATATCACATCCTTAATCTCACACTCTGAGCTTGTAACTACAGCCTCCACCGAAGCCAAATGTACCATCTTACAAAAATTAGGAAACCTCTCTTCTAGTTCCTACTGATTTTACAAAATCGATGTTATTTCTTTACATCCTTCTGTTCCGTATTTCGAGGCCATCATGCTGGCAAATACCCTATTCCTCAATTCTAGTTACCCAGCATCACACATTTTACACCTACGTGAAGCTCTTCACCTTATTACTCAAAATAATTATTTCCAATTTAATGGAAAAATATATAAACAAACACAAGGGGTACCAATGGGCTCCCCATTATCTCCTATTCTAGTTGAACTAGTCATGAGAAATATAGAACATCGGGTTTTCAATGCCCCTTTAACAATCCAATATCCTCTCATGTATCTACGGTACGTTGATGTGTTAATTGCGTGGGATGATTCCAATGAGGACTTGCTTCAATTTACTTAAATATTAGCCTCTATTTATTCTACAATTAATTTTACTGTTAAAGAGCAAGAAAACAATAGAATATCTTTCCTGGATTTAAATATACATACATCTCCGGAGCTTATATTTTCTGTCCATCATTGAAATAATAATGCTCCACAAATCATTCCAGCCGCCACCTACCAACCATCACATTACAAAAACTCTGCTATATCTTTGCTAATATGGAGGGCTTACCCTCTCCCTTCTACTCAGGTGCTAGTAGAAGATGAATTATCCATTATTCAATCTACCATGTTAAAAACAGGTTACTGACACTCAAAATTTATTTTGCTTAAAAATCGTGAAAAAACAGATTATTTCCACAATCTTTTCTTTCCAATAAAGAAAACTTAAAAATAGCGCATCCCCTGATACCCTACTTAGGCCCTATCTCCTTAAAAATTGCACATCTTTTTAGAAGTAATGGTTATATTCTACCAATTACACTGCAACCAAATCTAAGACTGCTATGTAATGATAGAGATAAGGACCAGTTGAACGAAAAATCCAGTATCTACCAAATCTTGCTAAAGCACACACTATCTGGTGAAGAGACTAGTTATGTAGGAGCTACTGCTAGAAAATTAAGTTCACATATCCATGAACATCAAGAAGACATCAAAAATAACAGGCCAGTTACAGAATTAGCAAAGAAAGTACTCAATCACTACTATCAGCCTCTATGGAACAAAATAAAATTACTAAAATGCTGCAACAATCAAAAAGAGCTATTTATTTGGGAGACACTCTACATTTCTACTACCATACTGTGCAACTCCCCAACTTTCAAGTTCCCACAAATTTGGATAACAGCTTTCAAACAACTCAACCCAAGATAAAAATACTCCTTCGTTGCTCGTATGTTTATTTTGTATTGGTGTGTATACATGCATGAACTATGCTCTTTTACGGACATTTCTCACTATAATATTTATTTATTATCATTTGTCTATGCGCTATGACGTAAGAACCTTTAAATAATATTTGAAAACCATAATCAGCGGAAATATCGTTTGAAATATTCGATATTGAAATTTTGTAAAACCGTCGAAATATCATTCGGAAAGCTTAAACTATCATATTCTATGTATCGCCTGATGATGGTAGTTTTACACTACTGAAAGTGCTAGCGGCTAAGACCTTTCTCCAAAAGTCGGATAAATTTCCGTATCCAGAACACCACTCCTGTAACGCCACTGCACATAAGTGTTCTAATAATAGACATGTACCATACTGGTATCACTGTTTTAAAAGCCTTTCATATTTGCCACTGCAACTTGCAAAATCCCATGCCACAGCTGAGTACATCATAAACAGATGCTTTTAGGTGACTTCACAAGAAATCCAGCAGGGTCAAATCTAAAGAATGTGACAGCCATGGAACAGGATTATGTTGTCCTATCCATCAGTTGTTGAACTACACTATAAGATGCTGATGCACATTTGCCCTGAAATGGGCTGGTATCCATCCTGCTAATATCAGTGTTCAATGTATGTCAATGAGTATGTCAATTACTCATTGACATACTCATCACCACATTAAAACTGAGATTTGTGCCACAGCAGCCATCCCAATTCTTCATACAAGACAAGACAACTTACCCCAATCTCACTTATCAGTAAGGTGTGGTCATGGTCATCAACAAGACTTGGACTATGTCTTGCTGATGGTTCATTGCCACGTTTGAACCACCTTTGATAGACACTACTGATGAGTGCAAACAGTCCATGAGCTTTGTTGCTTTGGAGATGCAAACACTAAGGCATCTGTCCATCATAATTTGGCCTTTGTTGAAGTCAAATAAATCTGCTACTTTGCTCATTTCTGCAACATAACTATAACTGCTTGTGCAATCTTCTGTCAGTTATCATACAACCATTTGATGACTTTGTCACATGTGTTTTGTAGGAATGGTTATTTCATTGACAGTGAGTGATTATAATGTTTTAGCTGGTCGATGTGTATATTTATACTACACACACACACACACACACACACACACACACACACACACACACACATATACAGTAATACAGTATATGTATATCAGGTATTATAATTCTTGGCTTTTAAAAAGTTAATTTGTATAAGTAAACAATAAAGAATTAAAAAAAAAACATTTTTCTGTACAATTCTTAATTGGATTAGATTTAGCTACAAATTCAACTTGGTAGAGTTTTATACATGTATTTGTTACAATATTTTACTATATCAGCATGTTTTGTCTTAATGTAATGCATCACTGCTAATCAGCCTACACCTTCACTCTGCTCATCAAATAGTCTGTGATTTACTTTCTTAGAAAAAACAGAATATTGACCATAAAAAAATATTATCTTAGAAAGATAAATAGTAGGCTACATGCTTAGCTACCAGAAAAATGTTAATAATAAGTATTACACAACTTACAAGTAGCAACATTCTCCTTGTTAGTCAATAACATCATAAAAGTAGTCTATAAAAAGCAAGGTAAAGAAAAAAATAAATAAATAAAAATAAAGAGAGGGGAGGATAGTATATGCAAGCAAGAAGAAGATAAAGTTATAAAAAAAAAAAGTGTTAATAATTACAAGCAAGGCTGTGGCAACATTCGTAGCACCATATGCTAGAAAGTTTCAGTTTACTTTGGGAATAAGGCAAATAATTGCCATATTTTAATCAGGCTATTTTATTGCTACTATTAATAATTAAATTCTGAGTAATGTGGTACTAGAAGTAGGTGTTAGGGGCCATCTCTTATTATTTAATAATTATAATTAATATTTATTAAATAATTTAGAATATTCTAGAAGGAAAGAATTGGCCCAGAGCATGACTCAACCTGCAACTCCCACTTACTGTGTGGATGCATTGCCAGTTATGCTACCCAGACCTCTGTCCAATCTCCACTTCCAGACATATTTAATTTTAGATATAATCCTCCAAACTTACTTATAATTATTAAATTTAATAAGAAATGGCACATAACACCTATCTCTAGTACCAAATTACTCAGAATTTAATTATTAAAAATAGTAGTAAAGTAGCCTGATTAACATATGACAGTTGTTTAACTTATTATTAAAACATTGGGCTTTGAGATGTTTACTTTAGGAATAAGATCTCCATCAATTAAGAGCATATTGTGTAGAGGCAAGGACAAAACTAATATATTAGTGTAATCCATAGTTTATTTTCTAAAATTAATAAAAATGTTCAATTTTTCTATTATTTAGGTTCCACTATTCTTATTCTAGGTATTAGATTAAAACAGCACATTTGTTCAATTACTTCTATTCAGTACTGCATCAGCATTTCACTGACACAATGGGTGTGCGACCAAGAAGTTAAGGTATTATGGGATAGACCAGTTCTTATAAAAGAGAGAAGAATTATCCATAAGATTATTAGAGCAAATATATATTTATTGTTTATCCAAACACAAACATAATTAATATCAATGAAAACATAATTAATATCATCAGCAATAGTTAAAAGTTCATATTAAACATCACAGACCAGTTCTTAGCCTTTTTTGTTCCATGGATGCCTTTTCCAGTCAGGTGAAGGTCTCAGATCCCTTCTCAGAATAATGATTTTTAAATGCATAAAATAAAATTACAAAAGCTACCATTATTGAGAACTTTCTATGAACTAATGGTTAATAATCACTGGAATAGACCTTATGCAATTGGTCAGTAGATTAATAGCAGATTTCATGTAACTTTTAGATTATTATTATTTTCTTTATATGAAACCATGTCTGTCTTCTTATTTATTATTCAACATGATGAAGTGTAATTAATACATGACACTAGGCTTTCTTTACATTCTTTATTGTTCTTTTGTTACTGATATACACACATTTTAAAAAATGTATTTTAGTGTTCTATAATTTATTTATAATGCTCAAAACCTTCAGAAGAAACAAAAGGTATGCTTCTTGTTAAATAATTATCTTTTGTGGTATAATATTGTAAAATTATATTTTATAATTGAATGTAACCGACATAAATCTGAAACGCATATCAGTAACAAAAGAAGAATAAAGAATGTAAAGAAAGCCTAATGTCATGTATAAATTACACTTCATCATGTTGAATAAATAAATGATTATTATTTTCTAAAATTTAATTCTATTATTAACAGTATTTTAACAGTTAATCATCATTCTCTAATGTACTGTTGTTTAAATTTGAATACTATGGTTTGATTTAGTTTTATTTGATATTATAAGAATAATCAAATTTTTGGCTGAAGCTGATTTAAGTAAAGTCAAAAACTTTTATACCCATTAAGTCTGAAATAAAAATTTTTTTGATTTTCTGAGTAAGCAATTATAATTTCTAAATTATTATGATGCCAAGTTTCAAGGATTATGTTGTGGTGGTACGCCATGCCTATGTACATAGGAGTTAGATATAAGTTTTATTTTATTTAAATCTTTTGTCTTTCACGTCTGTTTCTAGAACTTTCTAACCTATTCTTTCTCTACGGGTGGGGGACAATCTTTGTCCAAGGATGAAGGGAGAAAACAAAGGGATACTAAGAAGCCCTGAGGGCATCAGGAAAAGAAAAAGACACTTTTGGGTCAGCTTCTGAGGAGAGCAGATGGAGAAAAGA